CGTGTGCTCTTCCGATCTTTTAACAATGTTTCTGAAGCATTGCATTGCAATATGCAATGTTGCAACTTTGCTGCAATATTGCTGCAAACTTCTGTGCTGTATGGGACGCGTCTGTAATGCTAGTATATTAAAATACAGATATATCAAAATAACATTGTAAATCCTATTTCTACCCTAAAATTGGACATAAATTATAAATCGTTTAAAAGACATTGAATATTATATAAGTGTTATTTGCATAAATAGCAATTTCCATGGTGTAAATAAACTTACCTCCTTTTGTTCTTTGGCCAGCTAAAGAATAAAGAATACTACTAAATTCGTTTAGATTATGTTATAGACGTTTATATTATAGACATTTAATTTTTGATATAAATATCTTTACTTTATAAGTAGATTGAAGAAAATATATATGTATAAACATAAATAAAATAAGCATATTATGCTCCGAGATGATAAATAAAATAGTAAGTAAATGCTCTATAGAGCCAGCGCAGTTCTTATAGCTAACAATGTTCGTTTATTATAAATTATGAAAAAGAAAAAGAAGAAAAAACGTATGTTTCAACTCTGGTTTGAATTCTCTTCAGTGCAAATAAATTAGCCTACTAAACATCAGATGGGTTATACCAAACGACTTTCTATAATAAAATAAAAAATATTATATATTATTGCACAATGAAGGACAAGAGTGCCTTCTCTTAATTTTCATTTCTATGCTCCTAATTACATAACGTCTAAGCTCCTTTGAAATAACAATAAATCCATCTGACTACATCATGATGTCCTTGATTTATTGAAATCGAGAAAAAAAAAGTTTATTGACGTATTAAAGTAATTTGTCTATTTCTGATCAAATACAAGAATTTTTTCATTAAGAGAAGGATTTTGTTTTTACCCAACAAATAAAAAGCTCATTACTATTAAATATATCAAACTGAAAATATTATAGAGACTACCTATGTCGGGCTCTATAAAAATGATTCTAGAAATAGATTTATAGCTTTACTTAACTTAAATAAAAAACATTAATTCCTTTAAATCCGGCATTAGACATTAGAATATTATCAGCTCTATTAAACACGAAACAATTTATTTAAAAAAAAAACAATCCAAATATTTTTTATTCACCTATGCGAATAAGGGCAATGCTGGCCGTTCCGATATACACTGTCAGTACTGAAAATCTATAGTTCGTGTTACGTATACCATAGATTTTCAGTACTGGCAGTGTATATCGGAACACGGTCGATGTCGTCGTTCTTGATTAATAAGATGAAATTAGTTTTGTCAGATACTAATGCATACACTTTACTAAAACGCAACCCGGCAAATAAGATTCTTAAAGATCTAAAAAAAACTTGTTAAAGCATTGGAAATAGAAAGCTAGAATTTCTACTTAATTTTAAATACTCCAAAAGCAATATTGCCACAAGCGTATAGATTGCCTAACATTCATAAAACCAGGATATCTTCTCAGAATAATATCTACTGTTGGTAGTTCTCTGCATAATTTAGCAATTTTTCTACATAAAGTTATACAAAAAAGATTTACCAACCTCATAGCTATTAATTTCGATTTCACGAAAAAAAACTCTTACATCGGATTTTAGTCTGATTTCGCTTTTCGATAGATCTTGTCATCGCAAACTTAAAGAGCAGACAAAATTTGATAAAAGAAAATATAAATATTTCAAAATTATAATTCTTTAGCGCTATCAGTCTTATCCTTAATTCCATGTTTTCACGTTTAAATTAAAAATATTATAAACAAACATGGTGCTCCTATGAGCTCTCCTCTCTTTCCAATTATAGCAACAAGTTTATAAAGAACCGTGAACGCGAGGTGTAAATCTCTCGATCGACTTTATAAATTGCTTGCATTTTATCAGAATAGTTTTTATTATCCGTCTCTTTTATTAATATAATGTCAAAAAAATTTAGAATCTCACCATCAATTTTTATTATAAATTGGAATCTTGGATAGAAAAAATTATAAATATTTAGTAAGTTCTTGAGATAGATTAGAGCAACATTAACATCTTATATAAAAGAAAAGATCTTACATAAAAGGACAAATAGAAGTTTATTAATAACCAAAATCTCTAAAGCTTGTAGTCTTATTTTTTTATTTTTTTTCGCATCTGAAATTTCATAATAAAAATTTCGACAATGTGATAAATGTCATGTTGAATAATGAACATACCCTTAACTTTCTTCTTTTCTATCAAGAACAGACTAAAAATAAAGTTTTATTTAATAAATAACTATAATGAAAACTATTCTGATGCTTTTCTTCTATCAAAGACAGACAGAAAAAATCAAGTGTCATTTATTAAATAACTATAATAAAAACCATTCTGGTAGTCAATAAAAAGATGTTTTTCACCATTTCTTATGTTTCTAACATTGGATAAAAATACAAGCAATTTATAAAATCGATCCCAGGTTTACACCTCGCGTTCATGGGTCTTTATAAACTTATAACAAATACATAAAGATGCAAAAAGATATACTTCCAACTTTTTCATACTCGAATGTTGTTTATAAGATAAATTGATTGTACAATGCATCATACACTGAACAGACTGGTAGAATATTAATAGAATGCTTAAGAACAATGTCGAACAAAAACCACATGAAATAAAATATGTACTACACACTCTTCCGTAATTATGGAACACAGAAGAGAAATTTCATACGATTTCGATTGGTATCACGTAATACTGGATAAAAAAGCTTACTTCAATAAACGCTTAATATCAAAGAGAATATACAACAACCGTACAATCTGACTCTACAAAGTAACACAAAGTTTCTTGATTCATTTTATTCTAAAATTAAATTTTAAAAAATGGTAATGCTTCGTTTACAATTATCTTGATTTGTGCATAAATCTCCACATGAGGAAAGATTTGTTTATATATATTCGATTTTTTTGTCTCGGTCACTTATTCAATCTCTCATTCAATCATTAACATAAAGACTCTTCACTTCTATTTGTCTGATATTCGCTCTTTCCTTTTTTCTATTATCTGTGTAAATTTTACTGGTTTACTTTTTACAAAAACAGATTTCTTATTATCATCTTATTATTTTATACAATTATACTTATTTTATGCTTTACACTTATGTATTACTAAAATTGACACCGTATCTTAATTTGTATTAAAACTGACTTTTTATTATATTTTTATAATTTATACAATTTTATATCACTGACATACACGTATTTTATTCATATTACAACTAACTCTAAAAAGTCAAATACAATTTTGACATTACTAAAACTGACACATTAGTTCCCCTGATTTTTCTACCATGAAAGAGCTAAAAGAATTCACGAAGTTTGTACGCAAAGTTTGAAGTGAATTTAACGAATGAATACCATATTAATCTGTTTGCACTAAAAAGGACCCAAATCAAGATCGAAACATATGCTTTTATCTTTCTTTTTTTTTCTTTTATAATTTTCTTATATAATTTATAATAAACAAACATTGTTACACTACAAAAACTGCACTTCAAAAAGCATTTAATTACTACTTTTGATTTATAAAATAAATTATTTAACAAAACAATATTATATTTTTTATGTTTAATATTGCGTTAATATATTTTATTTAAGTATTGATATTTAATCATTTAACATATTATTTATATTGTTATGTTTATTATTTTCTTAAAAATTTTAATTTTTGCTTATCTCTTAAATTCACATATTTCAATACTTGTTATTTAGCATTCTGAAATAATAATCTAATTTTACTTTAACACAAGTTTTATATATATATACATGCAGGGTGGAAAAAAAGTACACCTTAATAACTTCTGGACGGTTCAAGATAGAAGATTGAAGTTTATTATAGGGATGCAAATGGCATCATAAAATCTATCATATAATACCAAAAAGGCCATTTTAATACCCTCGGAGCGGGGGAAAGGGGGGTGGAAAAATCTTAAATTGCACATGGGGTCGAGTGAGGGTTCGTTTGAAAGGGTCTTTCAAGACGAGAACAACGCGTGGTGTCCGAGGTCTCTACGATTTTTTTTTGCAGAATTATGCTCATTTGAACATAGGTGTTTTTTGACACTAACGAGGTCCACGGCGAGAACGTGAGGAAGATAAGGCTTCGCACATGTTCCTGAGTGGATGGAAATACATGTGAAAGAGCGTATGTGTGTGAGAGGAACATGCGCGAAACCTTAGCTTTCTCACGTCCTTGCCGTGGGCCTTGTTAGTGCCAAAAAACACCAATGTTCAAATGAGCATAACTCTGAAAAAAAATCATACAGATCTCAACGACCTCGCGTTTTTCTCGTCTCGGAAAGCCCTTTCAAATGAGCTCTCAACCCCACATGCCATTTAACATTTTCAACCCCCCACCCCTCCTTGGAAGGTTAAAGTGGATGTTTTTAAGGTTAAATGATAGATTACATTTTGCCATTGTAACCCTATAAATTTCAATTCAATATCTTGAACCGTTCAGAAGTTATTAAGGTGTCCTGGTACTTTTTCCTCACCCTGTATATATATGTTTTTAGCATAATTAATTTTATGTATCCTATTGAAATAGAAAGAAAGATGTATAAAAATAGCCAAAATTGGCCCTGAGCCGAAACCTAAAAAACTAATTCCACAGTGTTTCTTGGTGTATATGAAAGAGAAATATAACATTTATAATGCCGGAAAGTGCTGAAAAAATTGCTGATAAAAGTAAACAGTAAAATATTATACAAAGTATGTATACTATATGTAAATTATATGTTTTAATTTTCTTTATCTCTATACGATCAGTCTTGTAAACTTGTATACTTTAATATTTATACATTATGCTCATTTTCAGATGCATTTTGAATATAGACCGTTACACAACAGCCATTTTTAATAAAGAAATATTAAAATTTTTAAATCATTCTTTGTCTCTAGGAGCAACAACGAGGATAACGATTACTGATCTTATTTTTTATTTTTTTGAGCTCTTGTCTTTTTGTTTTTTTATTTTATGTATTTTTGTGCATTTTTGTTTGTTTATTCATCATGTACTATATGTATAATATACTACAATAAAATAAAATAAAAAGTCAATAAGAAACCTAATCGAGACCACGAAGTTCAAATGAGATAAATTTTTAAAAAGTGCGGTCTAAAGTGGATCTTGTTGCTCAATGATATTATTACGTAAATCATAGAATTTCCAATAATAAACTTCACGCCAAATATTTTGTCGGTCTTGAAACACAGCTCTCTAACTGAATTCGAACCACGTAATAAAATCACAATTAAATTGACA